GGAAGCAGCAGCATTGTTGTGAAGTTGTTGGGGAGAGGCGGTGTGAAGGGGTTGAGGGTGTGTGGCGTTATAACGATGTGTGCGGAGGTTTGTTGGATTCTTGTGGCGTGAGTAGGCTGCTGAGTATTTGCACATGGGGCGGCGTGCGGGTCTCTGAGTATTGGGATGTTCGACGTGCAGCTAGGGCCAGTCCACGGGGCCCTAGCGTAGCTGCACGTCGAGCATCCCCGGGGACGTGTGGGGGGACTGGGGGGTTCGAAGTGCGTGTTCGCTTGGTATGGCGTTTGGTTTGTGTCCAGGGGTTTGCGATCGTTTGGGTGTGGTGAGGTTGGGTTCGTTTGGAGGGGTAGGGGTAGGGGTGGGCGTTACGTCTGGATGTTATTTGGTGGCGGTTAGGCATTTATGTGGATGCGTATGGGGAAGGTGTAGGCAGTGTTTGACAGTGTGTTTAGGAGTGTGAACAATTCTATTTCATGGACATCAGGTGGCGTTCGATTGGGTTGCGTCCAGATGCTGCCTAGTTGCCATTTTGAGGCGTGACCATGTGCGGGGAGTATCTGCCTAGCTAGGCATGAAAAATGGCTGGATGGTGCAGGAGGTGGGTTGGGCTGGGCTAGGGATGGATATTTGACGATGGGGAGTTGCAGGGCTTAGTTTGTTGTGCGTTTACGCAGGTTAGGGTAATTGGGTTGAACTGGCTACCTGGCTGTAAACTCACGTACGCAGGGTGGTGGAATGTTGCTGGGCAGACGCATGTCGTGTTACAGGCTTAGCGATGCTGGGGCCGCTGGTTGCTGCGCTTGCCTTGCTTCTATGGGTTTTGCGGAATGTGCGCATTTCGGAAAAGGCTCGTTCTTTGGCCGCGTTGACGGTTGGAGTTTGTGCCGTTTTGCGGAGCACTAGGATAGCTTCAACATTCATGCACCTGCTGGGGCAGTGTGCGAGGAGTAGCGCTCAGTCGTTGGAGAAGCAGCGTTCAGGCATTTGAGGGCATGTACTCAAGGTTCGTGAGCTTCGCAGGAGCTGTGATGACGAAAGTTGGCTGCTGGCCGATGTCTTGGCACAGGGCTAGACACATGTTTGGTTCGTCAGTGGGTCGTTTGTGGCACGCATTAGATGGTTTGTACTGTGCAGTGCATGGCCAGTGCAGAATGGTCTGGGCTGCAGCGGCTTGTGGAATTCAGTCGTCTTGGAGTGGCATTTAGTGTGAGCTGAGTAGCGACGGACACTTGCGTGCAATGTGATAGCGGATGCGTGCGCTTGAGCTGTGTCTGCGTGTGAAGTAGCGGTCTTTAGGGCAGGCTAGTCATAAGGAATACGATATGATGCGCAGGCGGTGGGTTGCGTTTCGCATGAAGTCTCCCCGGATCATTGTGCTACCCCAGTGGTGTATTGTATGGTTGGTGTGTCCACTGTCCGTACACATCCGATAAGAAATGTGGTATTTATGGGGAGTTCTAGGTGTTGCGTGGACTGGTAGACGCACTGGTGTTGCAAACGGTTCTTGCTCTGGGGGCAGTTTGGGCCTTTAGTTGGGGCTTGCGCACAGGACGTCAATTGTGTAAACAGGAGTATTGCTGTGCAAGCGTTGCGGAAGGCCGGGGTGGATGGGTTGAGAGTGCGTAGCATTAATTACCACGGCGTGTGCTGAGGTGTGCTGGGGTGTTGCGGCATGAATAGGTGGCTGAGCATTTGCGCGTGAGGTGCCTTGCAACTGTTTGCGTGCTGGGATGGCTGGGGTGTAAGGGGCCGGTGGACGGGTGGGGAGGTTTTCGAAATGCCTATTCGCCTGATGGGCCGTTCGTGTTTTTTTGGGGGGGCGCATTATTGTTTGCGTGTATGGGTGGTGAAGTACGTTTGTTACGTGTGAATGCATTTGTCACCCTGCCGACATTGGCGTGGAAGCGTATGGGGGATCTATGTGCTAGGCTTAACAGTGGCTTAAGGCCTGTTAGCAATTGCGTTTCAGGGATATCAGGCGGCATTCGATTCGTTCTGCGTCTTGATGGCGCTTAGCTGCATTTCGCGGCTTGGCCAATTCTTGCAGTATGAGCGTAGCTGAGCACGAAGAATAGCTGTTGGGTGCAGGAGGTGCGTTTATTTGGTCAGCTGTTGGCACTTGGCCATGCGGGGTCCCGACGCTTACTTTGCATATGCATTCATGCAGGTTGGTCTGGGTAGGTTGAGTGCTCGACGTGCCTGCACATTCGTGTGCGCAGGCTGCTCCAATTTGATTGGGTATTAGTCCGCTGCGTAATTGGATTGTTGATGCTTGTGCAGTATTCTGCTATTGTTGACTCGCTTCCATGGAGTTTGGGGCTTGTGCGCATTTCGGAAAAGACGGGAGGGTTGGCTGCATTGAGGGTTGTAGTTTGCACATTTTTTTGTTAGCACGTGGTAGGCTGCGTCATGTGTGCGCTTGAACCGCCAGTATAAGAGGAGTAGCGCATACTCGTGGGAGGAGGAGCGTGCTGCAATTTGGGGGTATGTGCGGAACGTTCGTGGATGCTGTGAACTAGAGTGAGGTGCTCTGTGGAGCGTTGGTTGCTTTTCGATGCCTTGGCACAGGGGTAGACTTTTGGTGGGTTCGTCGGTGGGTTATTTGCGGTGCGCATTAGAATGCTGTATTTTCCGCTGAATCTCGCGTGTACAATCATCTGCGTTGCAGCGATTTGCGGACTTCAGTCGTCGCGGAGTGGCGTTTGGTGTGAGCCAGGTATCGACTGGCTTGTACGTTTATGTAGTGTGATGGTGAATGCACGCGTTTTAGCTGTCTGTGTGAAGGTGCAGCCTGTAGGGATGCCCTAGTGAAGAGGAACAATTGGCTGTTGCTGGCAGAAGGTGGGTTGAGTTTGGCACGGCGTGCGGATGTTTGACTGTGCTGGTCGTGGCTGTTGGTATGTAAATTACCCATGCGCATACGAAAGGGAGCAAGATGTGAACTTGGAGGTCTAGGTGCTGCGTGGATTGGTAGATGCATTGGCCGTGTTGTGGACGTTTTCTGCTTTTGGTGGATTTTTTACCTTTTAGGTTTGTTTTGCTGAGTGAGGGTCAGGTGTGGAAGCAGCAGCATTGTTGTGAAGTTGTTGGGGAGAGGCGGTGTGAAGGGGTTGAGGGTGTGTGGCGTTATAACGATGTGTGCGGAGGTTTGTTGGATTCTTGTGGCGTGAGTT